ATTTCTCTATGTTGACTTTTCATATTATTAATAGAACTTAATCGAGGTGATTCATGTAAAAATTATATTAAATTAAATTTTGTCTCTTTCTTTTTAATTTGATTAAGAGATTTAATTCAGTTGAATGTTTAACAGTGAATACTAGTATTCATACTCACTTGTATCTTCAGTTTCATACTGAAATGTAAATTAATTGAATTGTTATGTTTATATATAGATTTTATATTTTTTGAAATATATATTTTTATTATTGTTAAAATATAGAAAAGAAAAACAAATTAATATTTGATTTTTCATACTTATTTTAGTTTTCAGAGAAAGGACGATGTAAAATTTTATTGATTTCTCGAAAGAGATTTTTTTCTGATATTTTCATTTGAAAGTTACATCTAAATTTTGTAATTTATATTAAGATAATCTCATATATTTACAATTATAAATTAATTAGAAAAAATAATGTTACTACAAATTATTACTTAAAAGTGATTGTTTTCAAATACAGTACGTATCAAGAGACTTATCTCAATTTTTTATTTGAATTGGTTTCTTTTCAAAAGATCCGTTATGAAAAGTTCCATAAAATTTGTATAAAAAAATTCCTATCAAGAAATAAAAATAGCTTCTGAATACTTTTATTATAACAATCTATCGAGAAGTTTTTTGGACAAAATGTTTGCCCATATTTAACTCTCTTAAAAGTGTTCTAGATGAATGAAAAGCTAGGAATAATAATCAGAATTCTCTACTGATTATATTCTCACTAAACACTAGAAATATTCTTATCACTTCGTATAACTTCTAACAATATAACAGTTATCCTTTAGTTAGAAAGGATTTTTATACCGTAGAACGAATTTTTATTTGGGTGAATTCATAAATTATGTATTTTTTTTATTAATGAAATTACACTGAACATAAGTTTCAGAAATGTCCTATCAAGAGTTGTTCAATGAGAAAATAAAGCAGCAGACGATGCATTCATATTTTTAGTATTAAAAACAGAAGAACTACTGTACCAATACAAGTATGAATATGATATTTACTATTGATGATATAATGAATCGTATCAGAATGAACAATTTTTTGTTAATTTTAAATTTAGAAAATATTTATATGTAACTTTAAAAGCTTTGTACTGTTAATAAATATGAGATGTTCATCGCATTAAAATATTTCTAAATCGAGTTTACTATAAAATAATGAGATTCAAAAAAAGAATAATACGTTGCAAAAATCTATAAACTTTAAAATCATAATATTATTTGTTGGAGAAAGTTATTTCTATTCATAATATATATTTTAAGATGTTTTATTTATGCGAATGAAATGTCAATAGATAATAACAAATAGGACAATATAGTGATGTTACATTATTCAAATTCATCAAATGTCTGTTTCGAATAACCACTTCGCTTATTTTTTTGTTGTTTTTGATCATTTATATCGATATTCATATTGTCAGGACTAGCATCATATTTCGAAATAAAATCAGCTTGACTTGTATTAGAATAATGCGAAGCAAGTTCATCTTCATCATTAATATTATTAGTACTTGCACCACTGATAATCGATGAACGTGGATTACTTGAAAGTTCATCTTTTTTAATGTCTCTATCAACACGAGACTGTGTTTCGGTTGTTACACGATGCTTTTTATAAAAGAAGATACCAGCAATAATAGATGCTATTAGTAATAAAACAATAACTAAGATAATGATAATCATTTTTGTATTGTCTTCAAATGAAAATAAAATATTATTCGAAATTTATTATAACATATTTACTATCTGATTTTGGTGTATCTGGTTTAGCTAACATTCCCAAATTATGTTCCTCACCAATAGTTGGATCTTTGTTTGTATTATAATTACTATCATTACCTGCATATGGACTCGTAGTAGATTTTGAATAACTAGTTGTAGTAGATTTTGAACTGCTATTCGTAGTAGATTTTGAATTACTATTCGATGTGGATTTTGAATTACCACTCGGTGTGGATTTTGAATTACTATTCAGTGTGCTATGCAGACTTCCCACATTTGTAGCTATATTCAAAACAATCCAAAAATAATAAATAATTAAAAATGAAATATACATACATAATGATGCAGGGTATTTCTGAGCTGTTGATTCAGCTAAATATTAAATAATAAAATTTGAGTTTTTTTCTTCGGAATTATATCTATATTCAACAGATGTTACATACATCTTTCGCAAATAAATGGATATTGTTCATGACAAAATACATCATCGAGACATACTATTGGATGTGAAGGTATTCCTCGTCGAAGTATAACACATTTTTCTGAATCATTACTAGTGGTCAATCGTGATGGTTCGTTGTGCGTATGAGCATAACCCAAATTTGTCTTTGTATTACACCACGCAGCATGTTTACCGTCAAATTGATTTATTCTCCTATCATCCCATTGATATAGATCCACTAAAGAAATCCAAAATGTTTCATAATAATATCTTTTCTATCCAATATATATAATTGATAGAAACATAATACGAAATTTGACTTACAATTATTCGAAGTGGCTTGTGCACTAGTCCAAGCTACAGTTTTATTTGTCGTTGCCATTTGTCTTCTTCTACGTCCAGTTTTACTCTCAGTTACTTGATATATAAGTGCAAGTATACTATTATCACGATAACTAAATAAATCTGCTTGCATATTTTGACATACTGTTGCCGCTTTTATTCGATTCAATGGACTGGTATAAAGTCGAATACATGCTATTTCTATTTTCTAAGTAAAAACATATATAAACGTTTTTAATAATTTAATATTCTAACCAGAAAAAGACCAATCATATGGACATGATAAACAACGAACACCTGTCCAAAAAAGACGATTTTGCCCATTACATTTACATCGACCGGATGCACAAATCATACCAGGAAAAGCGCATGTTCCACCACACACATTATCATACATTGAAGTTACTAAATAAGAAGAAAAAATGTTGTATATATTTATTTAATATTAAAAATTTCACTTTACCGAATAGTTTTTCAGAGACCATAACTAAGAATAACACAATTGTTAAGACATACATGGATTAAGAGATTGATAAATGATAGGAATAAAGAAAAGTTATAGTTGAACTTAGAAGTACAATGAAAGTATTTGCATTAATGAATAATATATCCGCGTTTTTATACAGATATATACTTGACAACAATAATAGAATCATATTTCTTCTTGAAAAATCGAATTTTTAATTGTATTCAATATATTTAAATGACATGAAAACAGCAACAAGTAATTATTTACAATCTAATTAAACTTAGGATTTGATCATATTGCTCATAACTTGTAAATAGTATTAATCATTTCTTCAGGTTCAACTGATATATTTTCGAGAGACTTTTATTTTCTTTCTTTGTATATTCATACACAAACATAGACATAGAAAACATAAAACAACACAATGAATAATATAGAGTTATTAGAATAAACAGGAAAAAGAAAAGAAGAAAAAAAAATAGTTTGTACAATAAAGTAAACAGCAACAAAACAAGAAAACAAGACGGATAGCCATCGTTTCATTCGATTCGGTGACCTAGAATATAAAATCAATTCAATAATGATTAATAAAATTAAAATCTTAATAGAAGAAGACAAAAAATATCTTATATTTGAGTCTTTCCTGAATAAAATTAACAAGAAAATCATTCCAATTGATCGTCTTGAATCAATCTGTCTCTGAATGATGATCATTTTAGTCTACTGAAAATATAATATATCAGAGAGGAATTTTCCGTGACAACAAGTCTCAGCATCTACTATGGTAAGGAGAAATTATGTATTTGAGCAGAAGCTCCTTGAGAATAAGACAGTGATTTATCTAGAGGGAGGGCAAGGGTGACGGCGCCCTCCCGAAAATTGTAATTTTTGTGCTTCTACTGTGTATTTTTCTTCCAGAAATTAGATTTTCGCCCTCCCGGAAATCGCTATTGCACTCTCGGAAGGAAAAACCTCCAATAAATATTTCGTAATAGATTGCAATGATTACAACTGAAAAATAAATGAGATCAATCGTAATAATTCTTTTTTTTTTTGAAAAGCTTATTCATTTAATTCACACTTACTGTTGTATAAATCAATAAGCATTTATTTATGAAAAAAAAATTTCAAGTATACATATATATTCGCACTCAAATATTTTTATTGTTCGATAATAATAATTATAATCATATGTACTTTTTTTTAAAAAACAAAATTACTATTTATTCATTATTTAGACAAAATTTTACTAACTTAATATACATGATTCAATCAAAAATTGAATACTATAATCTTATGAAAAATACTTTGTATTATCAATGGGAAACAAAAAATAGAATAAAAATTCAACAATCATGAATTATGCATAATGGAATGCGAATATCTCATATTCATACGCTTTAAAAAACAAAATAAAAATTCATATATAAATAAAAATCCAAAGGCCAGAAAAAATCAAAACAAGAACGATTATTTGACGTTGTTTATCAGAAAAAATAAAAACAAAAACATATTTGACTATTAATTATATCATGACTAAAAGAATAATTCTTATCAATATATATATATAATCGTAACGAAATCTATTCTAGTTATATCGACATCATTTTTTGGGAATGAAAAAAACAATCATACATGGCGCGCGCGCACACACACAACGATGAAGAAAAAAAAAATGTTCAAAAAGATTAAATACAGAAAAGTTATTTTTTTGTAAAGCTTACCAGAATACATGTGTTGTGTTCGTTTCTTTTCTTTCTTTTTTAATATGAACAAAAAAACTAGTTTTCATCGTCGTCGATGATCACGACCATATTTTCCATCGTAATCTTCAACACGTCGATATTCACTTCGCTCACGTGGACTACGTGTACGATGACGATGTTTCTTGCGTGATTCACGAGGTGATCCAGATCGACTTCGTCGATGTTGTCTAAAGTAAAAGAATAAATTTAAAAGAAATATATATATGTATATATAAATATTACCGTTGTCCATAAGATTTATCTTCGATTCCTTTGAGTGTATCTTGAAGAGAACTAATTAATATTTTACATCGATCATCATTAGCAATTTTGGATTGTTTAATTAATGATACAGCTGTGACTAATGTTTCAATAGCTGTACCGTAATCACCTAATTTTTATTGAAAGAAAAACAAAAACAATAAGAAAAATATAGAGTCAACGTTATATTACTAACCGGCAGATGCATCTTGAACAGCTCGAGCAATGGCACTACTTGATACAGTTTTATTACGTTCCATAATATCTTGAAATTCATTTTCACTTATAGATATCATACTTGTAGGAGCTTCAGTACCACGATAATATGGATCAGGACGTGGTGGACCAGACATAGGAGCATTATGTGTAGGTGGCTATAATTTAAAATATAATTAATTTGTTTTTTTTTATAAAAAATATAAAATACATACTCCTTGACTAGGTGGTTGTTGTCCTGGATAATAGGCAGATGGATGTTGACCTGGCATCATTGACATTGAACTAGATGATACTGGTATGCCTGAAAGAGAAAAAAAAAACATGTATATAAAGAAAATAATCTTTTTTTTTCGCTCTTCAATTTACCTGGTGGTCCAGGTCGAATAGGATGTCGTACAAGAGATCCGTTACTACCTGGATGCATACCAGGTTGTTGTTGCTGTTGCTGTTGTGGTGGTGGTCGCATGACAACTACAGGTTGTTGTGGATGTAGACCAGGCATACGATTAAGTACCATTTGACCACCTGGCATAGGACCACGTGGACCAAGAGTCATTTGCATTGGTGGACGAACCATACCACCTGGTCCTCCTGGTAAAATGACAGATCCTTGATGTGAAAAACGATATGGTCCATCCATTGGGCCACCATGTGGTATTTGAAATGGAAGTCCAATTTGTGGACGTGCCATAGGACGAGCTAAAAATTTAAGAGTTTATATAATAAATATTATTCTAATTTAATCAATAGGAAACTTACGAGGTGGTGCACTCATTTGTGGCATAGGTTCCATAGGTCCATCTTTTCGACTAGTGCCTTCAAAAAAACTTAATGATTGTTTATTACATGGTAGAACAGTTGGCGTTTGTCCATAAATTTCTCGTTTTGGTATTTTCTCTAGAATACTTCGAGATGATGCTTCAGAACCAACAGTAACAACAGCAAACCTAGAAATAGAAGTATAATCAATCATAGGAATTTAATAACACAAATATGAATTCTTACCCTTTTGATTGTCCGTTAACACGATTTTCATGAAATTTAACTTCAAGTAAATCAGTTATTCCTAAATCTTGAATAATATCACATAAATCAGTATCTGTTGTCCACTAGAATAAATGAAAATAGTTTTCTACAATTCTTTCTCTTATATATTCTTCTAACATACCCAAGTAAGTTGACCAACATAGAGTGAAATACGTTTTCCACCATAATGATTTGATGATGAATTCCCACTAATTCCTAATCCATTTATGTGATCACCTTTATCAAGATTTTGATGAATTGTATTTGTTATGTCAGTAAAATCAGTTCCTGATGATTGTGTTGTAATTACATCATCGTATAGATCATTATCTTGTGAGAGAAGATGATGTTCATCATTAGCTCCGTAATCATCACCAGTTTCCTGAATGAAAAAAAGAGATTATGTATTGATTTTTTTTATAAAAATAACAATGATTTCTTACGGTTTCCAATTCATTTTCTACGACATCTGCATATAAATCAATTTCTGTATCACCACCTGCACCAACACTACTGCCTGAAATAGCTACTTCTGTATCAGTCATTGTTTTTGTTGTGTAATGAGAGTAAATTTCTGAAAAAGAATCAAAGATTTTTGTTAATAAATGAATGAGTAGAAGAGATAAATATATAGATACACTTGTTGCTATTTGTCGGTTATGTTTTCTTTCTCTTGTTGCCATTTAACATGAATAGAACCTCTACATTGGCATTGTTGAATAATCAAAACTTAATATCAAACTATATGAAATAGTTTTTCAAAAATAATAAAGATCTTTTGAAAATAGATTGACATTAAATATTTACTAATATAATCTTAATAGATGTCACTAAATATCAGTCTATTTTCAGCTAATTTTTCTAGAATTTTACCAAGAAGAAAAATGATAAATGAAGAACGGGAACGTGCCGACTAGGGTGCGCGTGGGTGTTACGCCCCTGCTTGGAAAATTTTAGTTTTTTAGTCAATAAAATCAAAAATAAGGACTTTTACGTGTTTTTTGGTGCTAGACTTAAGCAAAAAGGTGTTGCACCCCCCCTGCTTTTCGAACTTGACGTACTGAGATTTTACGCCCCTGATGAAGAACTTTCTAACTGATATTATGAATGCGTTAAATTAGATTAATCTCATTTTTCGATTACTTATAATTCATTTTTTGACGTTATTTTTCTTAATACACATGTCCATTGTCGTATACAGGTCGAAGTTATATACCCATTTTTTTAAATAAACTCTCAAGTTTTTATAATAAAATCAAAACAAATTATTAATCTATCTAAAAATTTATATCTTCAGTTTCTGTTACTTTGACAAACAAACCAACATACTATACCCATAATTACTATACCTGACTTGATCATATAAATATTGCATTGATACTACACTACCTCTTGTTGTGTAATTACATCCGTAAGTATCCTATTTCAACTATAAAAAACTACACGTATAAACTTCATTGGTGTTGATCAGAATCTCTTTTGTAATACATAATTTGAGATCTGTCGCTTTTGAATAAAATATTTCTATTATAAAATTTTTTTCTCGTTCTTTTTTTTCTGTTGTTTATTGGAAAACTAAATCAATCTTATACATTTTTTTTTTGTCTTACATTCAACAAACATATCATTTCTACTGAGAAAGGTTAATCAAAAGAAAAACATTTGACAGCAAGAAGCAAACAAAAAAGAAATAACATTTTTTTTTCCTCACGGGTTTCTGTACAAAAAACAAAAGAACTCTACGAGTTCAAAATACATATTTATATATATATATTTATATTCTTTTATGAACACTATTAATTTCCATTAGATGAATCTTGTTGTTGTTGTTGTTGTTCAGCTTTAATTTGTGCTTGAAGCATAAGTCCAATTTGCCATTGTTTAAGTTTTATCATATCATTTCCATTTGGTATTGTATCAGTTTTAATATTTTCAAACCATGAACGATATTTAAATACAACTGATGGATATTTTAATAATATAGATTCATAAAACCATTCAGGCGAAATATTATTCATACGATAATTATGGTTTTCATAAACTAAAACATAAAAATTTAATTTTTTTCGAAATTATGATTTGAATTCATACTTATTTCAATAGCTTTATTAATTGCATAGGTTTGAGCTTCATCAAAAGTTAAACTATTCTCTTTTGGATGATGAAGAAGACCTTCAACAATTTGTTTTTGTTCAAAATTTGATAATGGTGGATAATTTCCTTGAAGAAGATGAACGATTGGTGATGAAATTTGTTGATCAGAACGATCTGATGGTTTATAATCATATTCAATTTCATTTCCGTTTGTTTTTTCTGATCGTCGACTTTTACGTACTTGTTTTGTCGAAGGAGTATGATCTTTATTTGTAGACGAAATTTTTGTACGAGTTTTCATTGGTTGATTATCTTCTGTTGTTGAGATCTGAACAAATCGTTTTCTTCAATTAATATTTCTTTCAAAAAAAAATCAAATCTTACTGCTGAATTTGATAATGTATTTGTTTCTGATTTTGGTTTTCGTCCACGTTTCTTTTTTACTGTCTGATCATCTTCTTCCAATGTTGTTGAACCATTTTGATTGAAAGCTGCAGGTTTTCGATGTGATACGGAAGGTTTTTCAGTTGTATTTGTCTCTTCAGTTTTTACTTCAGGTATCAAAGAAGAATTTGAAGATATTGAAGAATCTCTTGCATGTTGTTTATTTTCTCCATTTTCTTCTCCTCCTTCTCCTTCTTCTTCATTTTGATTTTTCTCAACAGATGTTTTTCGACGACGTACACCTAATAATATTATTACCATGAAAAAAAACACATATTCTATTATTAAAATTATTTAATTACTATTTTTTGTTTGATTTAAAGCATCTTTTAATAGATCACTAAAATCTTCAATTCTTTCATCTTTTGTCATTGTTAATGCTCGATCGGCTAATTCAATTGCTTCATCCCTTCAAAAAATAATAATGCTAATTAAATTAAATCGAATATAAAAGATTATCTATATTACCATTGTACACGTTTTTTCATTGAAACTTTTAATTGAAATCTATTTGCTAATTCCTGTTGTTCAGATTTAGTTGCAGCCTAGAAATAAATATTTTTATTAATCTTCTAGATTATCTTTTTATTTAAAATTACTTGTTGAACAGCAGCTTCAGCATGTTGAATAAAATTACTTAATCCAGCATATGTTAATAACCAACGAGTTGATATCCATGAATACTCAAGATATTTACCATAGAAATAAACAAAAAATAATCGTTTTGGTTTATTATTTGAATCTAGAAATAGAGAACAATGAATTATATTTTCATTGATATTTTTTTTTGTTCAACATACTTAATGTTTTTGTATGAATTCCTCCTTCAGTAGTACAACGATACTAAGAAAATAAAATAAGATTATATGTTTATAATTCTATAAAACATACAATTAATGCAGGCCACCATGGAAAACCGCCTAGTTTACACCAGACAATATCACCTGGTTCATATAAATCAGCACTTGCATCAGGAGAATCAACAGAACGTAATGGTTTTGTTTTATTTTTTGTTGAATTTCGTTTAGTTAATGATGTATCCGTTTCTGTTTCATCAACGATTGGATTATCGAATATAAATTGTGGATCTTGTTTTGAACGACGCGGGCGTTTTCGAGATGGAGATTCTAAAGTATGAATAAGCAAAACTTATATATGAATTTTTAGATTTACCTGAAGATGATTGTTCAGTAGCCATTTAAAGCTAGAAAATATAATATTGTAGAGATACAGATACAATTTATGTGATTCGCTTTCTTTTCGGGAAAACGATGAACAAAGAATTTGAAGGGTTAGAAAATGATTGGTTCATTCAATTGAGCATTCAAATAATATAAATGATAGATATAGGAGGATTTTTCATTTTGTTATTATAAATGTTTTAAATCATCATCATTAAGAAATGATAAATTGGTACGTAAATCTAGTAAAATAGTTAATCATCAACTACTGCCATCTGTCGATATAAAATCTGAATTGAACTTAATAACTATAAAATCTTCTTCTTCACATACTGAATATATATTTATCTATGCAAGACCAAGTGTCACTTGATGTATTATGTATTCGTATTAATTACATATTAAATGTTAGTCTTTCTATGTAATATTTTATGTCTTGTACCTTGATTTTATATTCCATTAATTTCACAATATTATAACATCAGTCTGTAATAGAATTTATTAAAGTAATATTTATCACTATCAACAAGAATTGAATGAATTTAATATAAATGTTCATATAGACTTCATTTTCTTAATGAAACTTGAAAGAGATATCTTGATTTTTATGTCTTTTTTTGTGAAATTAAACAAATGTTTTGTATCTAATGCGTTGAAATTAAATAACCTTCAAACATAATACTATAATAACATATCAACAATACGCTTTTACGTTTGTGATAACTATATCTTCATATCATCGTTTGTAAAACTGTGATATGCTTTATCATATATGATCATTTGTAGCGACTATTTACACCTTTATGATGAGCAGCTGTGCAATTCGAAGTGCTACTAAATATTATCATTTTGTCGCAGTGTAAATAATTATGTATACAGTTTACTGACAATATTAGGCATATTTCCTTGATATTTATTAATATTCTAAACTGATTTGGACGCATTTGAATACGCTAATATATATATACAGTGTTATCATATGGATAGGATATACAAAGATAAATTGAAACTGTGTTTATTTCTTACAAATGAGAATTCAATTCTTAAAAACAATTGAATAGATAGTCCACTTTTTATATGTAAAATACATGTTGATACCCCGCATACAGTCGACATTATTACCTTAGATAATAACGAGAAGATTTTATTCATTATATAAAACAAACATACCAGTTTATTTCTTTATTTTAGATAGATGCTCTAGCAACATGCTACCAAGAAAACATTGCAAAACTATATTTGCTATTGCATTTAATATAAGCATTTTTTCTTTGATCATGACAATTGCATTAGTTATTTTGTGGCATACTAAATTAAAACCATTTCGAGATTATGCTGTAGTTATTGATGCTGGTTCATCTCATTCAAAAATTTTTGTTTATTCGTAAATATTTATTTTTTTAATATTCGCTATTCAATCACTATATTATAGATGGCCTACAGATAAATCAGGCGGACTTGGAACAACATCACGAATTAAACAAGTTAAATCATGTTCTGTCACTCATGAACCTATTACAACAATTGTAAATGCAACACAAGATAATGTTAAAAACTATTTTGATTCAGCTATGACTACTTGTATCAGCAGTATTCCATCAACACGAAAAAGTCGAGCATTAATCTTTCTTGGTATAGTCAATCTCGTATTTCACTTTCTCTGTCATACAAGTATTCTAATTTTTGTTAGGAGCAACAGCTGGTCTTCGTTTATTAAATATCACAGATCCAGCATATATTACTCGTTTATTGAATAGTACTCGTGCATATTTTAGTACTCTTAAACTTCGATTTCGTGATCCTATAAATCAAGTACGTATCATAAGTGGTAGCGAAGAAGGTTTGTCTGGATGGATATCAACAAATATTCTACTAAAAGAACTGTTTAATAAAAGCAAACCATTAGACACCTTTGGTGTCCTGGATATGGGTGGTATGTATTAAATATATGTATTGATATGAATGGTTATTTTTATATATATAAAGGTGCTAGTACTCAATTAAGTTTTATAGCTCCTAAGGCAACTAAAGAGCGATATCGAATGAATCTATTTGATAGAAACTATGATGTATATTCACATTCATATTTATGTTATGGGCAAGACCAAGCACGTCTAGTTTATCAAGGAAAATTAATAGAACAAGCTAATGGATCTGTGTCTATACATGATCCATGTTTACAACGTGATTATATTGAAAATAAGACTTATAATGATATATTCAGTACAGCTTGTGCTCATGGACAAAATGAATCTTCTGTATATTTTAATACATCATCAATATTTTCATTTATGTATGGCAATTTAAATTATATACGTTAATAAGATAATTTTTCTTTGATTTTAGAGGTACTGGTGATTATAAAGAATGTAAAAGAATTATGAAAGAACGTT